ACCCTCAGCAAGAACCGCTTGCAGACCAAGTCCCAGCTCGCACAGGGCTTGAGTCTGAGTGCTGATAGCACGGCAATCCTTCATATTGATCAGGCAGCCAGGAAATGGCCTGAATAGCCACCGACACTGTTTTGCAGAACACCAGGAAACCATCAAGCCAATCTGRAGAAATTCAGTGATCAGAATCCAAATATATATTCAACTAAAGATACTGTCATAAACGTAGACAGAGCGTCAGCCTCACAAACAGAAACTTGAAGTTGGTTCCAAAAAAGAGGAGCTTGATAACTGAAAACTCTGCATCCGATTCTACATTTATAAACTCTAGGAACCACAAGTAAACCTGCAGTCTGAAAGTGGATTGCTCTGTTAGGAAAATATGGAACAATAATCGAAAGTAGCTGGGTTGTTGAGAGCTTTGTGTGTTAGAAGTAAGATTTTTAATTCTATTCTGAATTTGACAGAGAGCCAGTGGAGAGAAGCTAAAACTGGAGAAATGTGATTTCTTCTTTCAACCCGCATTAGAACTCTAGTGGCAGCATTTTGGATAAGCTGAAGACTACTTTTAGAGTTTTTGGACACCCAGATATTGAATAATTACAGTAGTCTAGCCTAGATGTAGTAAATGCATTCATCAGTTTTTCTAGATAATTTTTGGACAAGCTGTCTCTAATTTTATTGATATTAAGCAGGTGGAAGAAGGCGGCCGTGGAAACATTTTTAATGTGGGGGTTAAAAGACATCCTGATCAAAGATAACAAACTTCTACAGCCTGAAGTAAATATTTAATTTAACCAAAATACTCATGCTGTTAAAGGTTAAGAGGCTCATTTTAGACATCATGTTTGTTTTGTGGTCTTTCGACAAATTACCGGAACACTTTTAACCTTTTCTTGTTACAATCCCCAATTTTGTTACAAGAGGTTGAACATAGTGTAGTATTTTTGTATTTTGTGTTAGAGTCTTTCTGGACTGGATAATGTGCACATGGGAGTCCTTGGCACTGGAGAGAGTTGTGGTTTAGAGTTTTTTAGTCTTGTAAAGGAAGCCATGTGTAGTCAGAACACGTCATTGAGGACATCATGCTCATTCAGTTTTTTTTTTTTTTGATGGTGTACATCAAATGAAGAGGGATGAATAGCTACGTAGTTCCTAGTGTGTCCTTGCCATTTATTAAAATGTAAAAAGAAAAAAAATCTTCAGAACAAAATGACAGTGTGTGTTGGAGTCTTAGAGTGTGAAGGCCAAACATCAGTCAAGCTCCACTATAAACCTGAAACWGTCTGTACTTCACAATACAGTATTTTAAAAGGTTAAACAAATGCTGCCAATGATCCGGTAAAGGATCTTTTATAACAGGCTTAACCACATTAAAATTCACAGTACACGAGTCACTTTACCAAGAAACACTTGATGGTGACAAAAAGAGATGATGTACATGAGTTTTGACTTGAGGCAATTCAACACTTGAACATGTAATATTTTGTCACTATATATATATA